CGAGAGGGCTCCTGCTCCACCCAGGGCTGCCTGCGGGGGCCTGCCAGGCTCGGCCAGGACAGCGCTGGAGCCTTTCCTTCCCACCAGACCAGGCGCTGCACGAGGGAGAGGCCGGACTACGCGCCGAGCAGCAGCGAGGATGAGGATCCTGCCAAGGAGATCGGGGTGACCTACAAATCCACCAGGTCGGCGGTAAGGACAGGCAGCAGGGGGCTTGGGGTGTCAGCTCAGTGGGGCTGGGGATCCCACTCCTCACAGACAGAATCTGCCACTCCAAACATGGGATTGGACATTCTTTCTGATCAGTGCACCTCCCTGTCCCCTCTTAATAGCCAAGCACCTTGTGCTGGGTTTACTCTGATAGTCCCTCCATCCATGGGAGGCCATCAAAGGTTGGTGTTTCCCTTTTAGAGGTGGGAGTTAAAACTCCAGGATGCCACTGGACTTTCCCAACACTGCAGAGATTTTTCAGGAGAGGGAGCAGTTGGATCAGGTTTGCTCAGCTGTTGGGTTTGTGTTTTTAGTGTTAGATCATCTTAGGCAGCTCCCAAGGGAGGCAGCCTTTGGTTTGCCCAACCTTCTGAGGTGAATGAGAAGGAATGGTAGGAGGTGACAGCTTTGGCACTCTGCAAGCTTTTCTGTTCAGTTCTTGCTCTGTGACAACCTTCAGGTAGACAGGAGCTCTCTGTCTTGTCCAGGTGTTCCTTCCACTCTTGCCACAAGTTTTCCTTGCATTTCAGAAACCTGTTGGCCCAGAAGACATGGGAGCCACAGCAGTGTATGAACTGGACACAGAGAAGGAGAAGGATGCCCAGGCCATCTTTGAGCGCAGCCAGAAGATCCAGGAGGTGAGTCAGCCTTGCTCCTCAGGGACTCATGCTCTGCAGCAGGAGAGCCTGTGCTTTGCTCATCCCCTTCTGCTCACCCAGAAGAGTTAGAGTCTCATCTTCCCTACAAGTTCAGAAGTGTAACCTTTGCAAATAGGGAATTTTGTGCCCTTATTGGCATCTTGGTGTTAAGGAAGGCAAGGTGGGAAGGAAGACTGGTGTTGGAGTGGTGACAATTAATTCATATCGTGAAGCTCTCCTGATCCTTAATCATCTCTTCTTGCTCTCCTAGGAGCTGAGAGGAAAGGAAGATGATAAAATTTACCGTGGCATTAACAACTACCAGAAGTATGTGAAGCCCAAGGACACATCGATGGGAAATGCCTCCTCAGGAATGGTGAGGTGGGTTGGGACGAGCCTTGGGTCTGTGACCACAGAGGAGCTCAGGCACCATCCCAAAGGCAGCGTTTGGGGCTGGAACTCTGCTCTCACTGCCAGTTTCTGCCTGACCCATGTGGTGTGTGGTCCTGGCCAGGGCCCTGCTCCAGGGCCGCTCTGCAGGGGCTGAGCCTCTTTTCCCCCTTCAGGAAAGGCCCCATCCGTGCTCCGGAGCACCTGCGGGCCACGGTGCGCTGGGACTACCAGCCCGACATCTGCAAGGACTACAAAGAGACCGGCTTCTGCGGCTTCGGGGGTGAGTGCCCCGTGCTGCAGCTGAGCACCAGGCGTGCCAAGGCATCCAGTGACCCCATGTTCAGGGTGCTGAGCCACAGACCCTTCTGTGCAGAGCTGTTTGTGTAAGGTTGTCATTCGTGCCATCCCTTCTGAAAGCCCAGGGCCTCTAATGTGGTTATAGGATCATGGAAGGGACCCCTGGGATGTTCCAGTGACCCACATTCTTTACAGGTATTGTGTGCACTGAGACCATGTGAGGGATGGGTTTTCCTGTTCCTTTTCCCACTTCTCATGTGCATAACTGCTGGAACTGTCCCTGTGGCACAGAAAGGATGACACAGCCTGTCAGCACTGAGGGATCCTGTACCTGCTCCAGCAGCTTAGTGCTGCCCTGGACAAGGAGCAATCAGATTTCTCCTGCTGGGCAGAGCTCAGGCTGCCCTGGAATTGGGTATCCTGGTAACACTGTGCCCTTGCAGCCTGTCTCTTACTTCCTCTTTGTTTGTGCTGCTCAGACAGCTGCAAGTTCCTGCACGACCGCTCGGACTACAAGCACGGCTGGCAGATCGAACGGGAGCTGGACGAGGGCCGCTACGGCGTCAACGGTACGGCCCCGTGCCCTCAGGGCACTGCTCAAAACTGTGCAGCTCCTGCTGCAGGATGGGCTGGGGGCAGCAGCACTGACAGTGCCAAGCAGAGCTGCTGCTTTCAGACAGCCCCTGGCTCTCTGGGAAGCAGAGCACTGCTGTGTGGAGCTGGGAGATGGGAGTGTCCCCCCAATGCCCAGGAGGTGGGATGTCATTTGTCACTCAGGGCTCATGAGTGCTGCTGTGCAAATGGGGGCTGTTCTCTGCTCAGCTGGAGCCAGAACTTGGTGGCAGCTGGTTTGGAAGATAGTCTAAAAAACAGGAGGGGGCTGGAGGATGTTTCTCTTTATAGCAGTGAGTGGGTGAAGTAGAAAAGAATTTTCTCCTGAGATGAGCAACAGGCCTGCTGGCTCATTAGCCCTAATTATAGCAGAGTCCCACACGTGTTACTGACATCAGCAACACCCAGATGCCAGAGCTCCATTGTTTCCAGCAGAGATGGAATCCCACCTGCTGTGCTCTCCCCTTATTTATTATTTTGTGCCCCACACATTGGCTGGGCTGGCTTCTTCTCTCACTCCACCCTGATTCACTTTGTGTTCTGCAGATGACGAGAACTACGAGGTGAGCAGTGATGAGGAGGACATGCCTTTCAAATGCTTCATCTGCAGAGGTTCCTTCAAGAACCCCGTGGTCACCAAGTAAGTGGTGGTTTGGCACCAGCAGCCACGTGTGCTGTCAAAGCAGCTCAGGAGTCATTCACTATTGAGGCAAAGACAAACCCAACCCACAGGCTGTGGGTGGAACCTGCTTGTTGTCTGCCCTGGTTTTCTGGTGGGTGGGGGAATCCTGAGAGCCAGGGAGTCTCACAGCTGCATCTGGAGCATCCCCTTGGAAGGGATCTCAAGCACTTACTCAAGCACTTTTTAGATTTGCACAAATGCTGCCTCATTGCCTCATCTTTCCCCCTTAACCTTGAGATTTTGTTTTCACGCCATCATTCCTCCTGGACACTGAATGGCAGCTGCACTGCCTGAGCAGAGAAAAGTGAGCATGGGGAAGCCAGGAGCTTGGTGAGGATGAGGAGGAGGCTGAAGACAGCCCTTTCTCACTCTGAACACTGTCCTGTGTCTGGAAGAGCTCACTGGTGGCTCTGTGCTGTCGCTACACATCAATGAAGCAATGCTGAAACACCTTCCATGGGGACAGGGATGCCTGCAGCTCGCTGTTGCCTCCCTTGGGGACCATGGAGAGAGCTGTCAGGCAGGGGAAGGGGCTGCCCAGGGAGCTGGTGGAGCCCCCATCCCTGGGGAACAACAGGACATGGCACAACAACCACATGCTCTGGTTTGGGTGACAAGGTGGTGTTTGGGCACCAATGCTGGAGGGTCACTCTCAGCCTCGATGTTCCTGTGACCAGCAGTGAGCAGTTTCTGACTCCAGGCCACGGTGGCTGTGGCCTTGCAGTGAGCTCTCTGTGTCCGTACAGGTGTCGGCACTACTTCTGTGAGAGCTGTGCCCTGCAGCACTACCGCAAATCCCAGCGCTGCTACGTCTGCGACAAGCAAACCAACGGGGTCTTCAACCCTGCCAAAGGTACTGGGGGGCACCAAAGGCAGCAGCTCCTTCCTGGTGCTGGGCCTGGCCCTGAGCTGCAGTTCAGAGTTTGTGTCAGGAAATATTGAATCACGGATGCAATTTGAGCATTGGGGAACCTGGGGAGCAGCTGGAGCAGAGGCAGCAGCTTGTGTGGTCAGTACAGCACTGAGGGATGACTGCAGCAGCTCCTGCCTGACCCAGCCAGCACGGGGGCTCCAAGCTGAGCCTCTGCAGGAGGGATTTTTGGCAGCTGCCCTGGTCCTGGGTGTTCACAGCACCGGGACCCCTGGCTCTGGGGCAGCCCCTGCACCTGGAGCCTCACTGTGCCTGTTCTGTTTTTCAGAGCTCATGGCAAAACTGGAAAAACACAAAGGGGAGGAAGAAGAGGAGCAACAGTCAGACCAAGAAGGGGATCCACAGTAGCAGAATACATTTTGTACATAACTTAATAAAGCCCTGTTTATAAGACTTCCTAACAAACCAGGAAATCAGTATCTTCTTACTAACAGTAAGATTAAATCAGGAGCCAAACCTGATCATAGGGAGGAAGTAGAACTGGGCCTGGCCTTAACAAATATTCCTGTAGCTGGGAGAATTTTACTGAAACTTTCAGAAAAGAGCAAGTGCAGGTGTGTGCAGCTTGTTGCTTTAGTTGAAGTCTGTTTCTGAAGCATGAGGCAGCTGCCATAAACTGGTGACCTGATGCTAAGGTAAAAGCAAGCATGCACAGCCAGCCTGTCACCCTCTGTGATTCACTCCATCATCCTGCACAAACAGCAGACTTAAAAAAACAACTTCAGAAATATTTTATTTGTTTTGGAAAAAAAAACTAGAGTAACAAACTTTATCTGGGTTCAAGTACAATTTATAAACACAAGAAGGACCTGTTGCCAGCACCACTACTCCCATCAACTGCACCTATACAAGGATTCTCAGTGCTTCAGTAAAGAGCAGATGACCTTCAGCACCATGGTCCTTGGAAAAAAAGTCAAACTAAAAGCCTTAAATACACCTCCAAACAAACCAAACAGCACGGAATGGGGGAGAGCTGCCACAGCAGCAGGGCAGAGTCACACAGCCATGAATCACAGGGAGCCACATGAGCAGCTTTTACCTGTCAGTGAGGGAAGGCAGGACAGCAATGGTCATGGAGAGGTTAAAGTTCAATTCTGTACAGGAGTTGTGAGCAAGAGGATCAGCATGACAATCAATTCACTTCTCCTCTGTGCCAGGGTAAGTCACTGAGAACAGGCAGGTAAGAGTGTTTCGTGCTGTGAAACCAGCCCAGCTAACATGAAGTTCAAGTGAAGGGGATAAAAAAGCTGGTACATTGCCCAGGCATCCACTCTGCTCTGGTGACCCAGGGAGCTGGAAGGGGAGCTGGAAGGCCCTGTCTGACCCAGAGTTCAGAGTGCTCAGCATCAAAAGCCCTCTCCAGACTGGAAGCATCCAGTGCTGCAGAGGAATGCCCAGTGCAGCAGGAGTGCCTGGAATGGCATCAGCTTGTCTTTGATCTCCTGTTTTCCATCACAAAGCAGTAACTAAGAATATAATCCCTTTTTTCCCCCCTTAAAACTTGCCCTGTGACAACACTGTTACAGGAACCTGACTAGTTCTAAGAGAATGCCCAAAACTAAAAGCTGCCCACCTCCCCTCAACTCTAAGGCACCCTTAAAAGAGAAAGAACCAAAGAGGGCAGGGACATGCAGCCTCAACTGTGAGGAAGCCAGTGATTGTTAGAAACACATAAATAGAGACCATAACTACACAGACTCACTCAACACCCTCGAGTGCTCTACCAGAGCTCAGCTGGAAGAATGGGGGCTCTGGGCACTGCACCTTCTGGAATATTCCACAGCTCCTTGGGTTGATCCTTTTCCAGCTCAGGTCTGTCCATCTGTATCCAGGCTACTTCTTAAGTAAACAGGCAGTTGAAGTTCCTTCCCAAGGACCTGTAAACTCCTCTGTGTGTAATATTCATCAGCTTTTATGAACAGGACCAATAAATTACAATGTCCAGAAAGCTCCTCCTCAGTGTAGTCCCTATTTTTCTAGAATTCCCAGTCATCCACATCCAGCTGCTCCAGGTTTGATACCAACCCAAAAATGCCACTGGGATCCTGGGGCAGTGTCCCTTCCAAGTTGGTGATGGGGGTGACAGGGCGCAGGAGCTCAGGGAGTGCTTCGGACGCGCGGCGCTTGATCTGCACAGGAAGGACAGAACGGGACACAGGAATGCTCAGGTGCTGCTGCACACCCAGTTCTGCAGGCACAAACAACAGGAAATGCACAGGGCACCCTTTGGACTCCTTAAGGAGCAGGTTGGAACTGCCTCGCCCCAGAACTCAGCAGCCTGCAGGGGAAGAGCTGTTGTGGCTCCCAAAAGAGGCAGATTTAAAACTTCTCTTAGATAAGAGATGCCTATGTGACAATCCCCACACTGCATTACAAATAGTCAGAAAACTGACTTAATCTTCCTGATCACAGGAAATTCAGCAACTCAACATCCCCACCCTCACAGCAAGATAAAGCCAAGCATTTCCCTGTAGCTAAATTAGTTCCTTACCTGCTTAAAAAAGGGGTGACTGAGCAGAGTGCCTGCGCTTGGCCTGTGGAAGGGAGAAGAATGAGGGAAGAAGACAAGAACATGAGGCAGTGCTTGAAGTCAGGTAGTGAGAATAAGAAAAGAGCAGGGTCCTTCCTGCCTCTCCCATTTCTCAGCTGTTGGGTATCTCCCTATTTTCAGCAGTAGCACGGCTTCTGAAGCATTTACAATCACATAATGTTTTATGCAAGGAATTCAACCTCCATCTTCTAACCTTTAAATTGCATTACTTGCAGCCCCTACATGTGGCCAAGGACCACCTGAGCAGTGGGGCACCCCTGAAAAGTCTGTCATGGCTACAGATTGCCCTCACTACAAAGAAAAATGCAGCTTTGATCACTTCCCATCAATACTCTCTGCTGGCTGAAGAGCAGCCATTTGCAGTGATGGGAACTGGGTAAACACAGTGCCACAGGGGCCAGAAACAGAAGTTGTTTATTTTCCTGATGTGCAGATTACAGTTTGTAATCTCTTTTGATATAGTATCATTTGTCAGCCTCTTATGGTTAATACCCTAATATCTGTGTCGATTGTATATCTTAGTGTTGTAAATATATATTATAGTTTAGGCTTTCACAAAATATTAAAATAGAGGATGTGTACTGTCTACTATAACATTGACTTTTAGAGAAGTAATGGCAGTTGTGGAATAATAACTAATGCCTTTATTTTTGTAACCATCTGACAATAGTGAAATAGCCCCATCCTCCAAGGAAGGCTGCAAAGGAATTCCTCAGGCTCTCATACAGGAAGTGCTCAAAGTGTTAATGCTGCTCATTCTACACACTTGGACTGCTCTCCCCAACACATGGGGCACACCCTCAATCCACTCCACTTTTGGAAAGAAAACTGTGAACAATATCTGCCAACTCCCAGAGTTTACCCAGCCCTAGGACAGCACAGGTGGGGAGAGCAGCTCTCACAGGGCTTTACCTGAAATCAGGGTTCCTCTGGAGGCACTGCTCCACGAAGTTGTGGAAGTAGGTGGAGAAGGTGCGCAGGTAGGGGTGCAGGGCGGGCTCGCCGTTGGCGGCGCGCACGTTGCTCACGGCCGTGCTCTCCCCCACGCCGTAGTTGGCGCTGGAGCGCGACGTCTTCATGGTCAGCTCGTCTGCAGGAATGGTGGTGGTGTCCAGCAGGCAGGGAACGGTTCCATTCAGCTTCTCCAACAGCATCTGCAACAGCAGGTGGGGCACAAGCAACAGCACAGTTAAGGTTTCCCATTCATGCAGGCTGCACACCCTTCTGCGCTCACGCCCCAGAGCAGCAAAGCAGCTCCAGGTGCCAGGATGAAGGAGAGAAAGGAGCTTGCAAACCTTACCTGAGTAGAGGGCATGTCTTTAAATGGGACATGTCCATTTGCCAGCTCACAGGCCGTTATCCCCACACTGTAAATGTCAGATTTTGCATCGTAACCCTGCAGATTCTACAAGAAAAGGAAAAGAAAAATTAGCTTCAGGGATTTGGATGTGATTGAATGGGCAATACCCATGGTTTCAACTGCAAGTCAACAAACCCAATGTTTAAAACAGGAACAGCATAAGCCACAGATACACTGGTTTATAGTGGTGAGGGTTTTTTGGTTTGTTAAGAGTAACATTTATGTAACTGGAATCAGCCAGCCTGCAGGGATGGCATCTGCCCTGGGTAACTTGCATCTGATGTAACATGTTAATGAGACAACCTGTAGAGGTGCCTACAATTAAACTGTTGAGTCAACTAGATCAAATTCTACCCACTTGCCCTTTCACCCCAAATCTGTTTCCTTTAGCCTCTCCCCTTCTTCTTCCTTGCATTCATGTACCCTTCCCCTTGCTAGGGCTAGAGCTCATCACAAGAAAGCAACTCTGCAGGTTCTCTCATGTCTCCCATTCTACACCCCTCCAGCATGCCCTAAGAGCTCACAAAATTCTACAGATAGAGCACATCATTAAACACACCTGCTGCAAAACCTCAGGACTGAGCCAAGGCAGCACTTTGATGCTGTATTTGGGGAAGTCGTGAACAACTTTGAGTCGCTGCCCATGGTTGATCATGCTCAGGTTACTCCTCAGGCCAGAGAGGTACACCTTCCCATCCACAGAGATCAGGATGTGGCTGGCTTTAACACTCCTGGGGAAAAAAGGAACAAAACAGTCAGGGTCTCTACTGAACAGCTCAATGCACAGGGCAATACCTGATCAGCTTCCTACCAGGAGGCTGAGACTCCTAACAACCATCTTTGGATGCTGGGCAAAATCAATTAACAGGATTCTATTCATCACCTTTGCAAGTTCAGAAAGAATGTTTCTCTGGCAAGGAGAAATGCAGGACTAAATGTTATGGATTGTGATTTTAGATAGACAGTGGTCTTTGGGATAAGTTTGCTCCACAAGACTTTTGTGCAGCTTAGTAAGATCAGTGATGTCACTTCCCATGAGTATCAAACTGATTGGCTCTAACAGCAAAGTAATACAAAACTTAATGTTGTTCTGTGTCTGATTCATCCTCTGCTCACTCTGAGTATTATTCCCAAGAACTTGCACCAGAAGGAAAATAAATGACCAATGTGTTTCTCAATACCTATGCACATAGCCCATATGGTGGATGTAGTCAAGTGCTTTCAAGACACCTTGGAGAATGTAAGCAATGGCCAGTTCAGTCATCCCATCTGTAAAATGGGTACAGATTAAATCTTTTGCAGAACCTAGAAAGAAACAAAACACCACCTGTCAGAACAAAAGCCCCAAGGACACTTCAGCTCTTCAATTTCATTTCACACAACATGAGGGTCACAAAAAGGTACTCCCTCTCCACTCACCATAGGCCATGAAAGAAGTCACTACCCACAGCTCATTGTCAGCTATGAAAGTTGCTTTGTATGGCACGATGTTAGGGTGGTTGAAGAGCTTGGAAACATGAAGTTCTCCCTAAAATAAAAGATATTTTGATTCAATTTAGTAAATGCAGCAACATGGCTGCATATTGATAGGCACTGCTCTTGCTGTCTGTCCTCTTCTAAGCTTGCATGATGAGTGGGATTACCTGCAAGAATGTGACCATTTCATTTGTGCAGGCCTCCAAGTTCACTCTTCTGACTGTGACATACTCTCCTGTGGGTTTATACCTGGCCAGGTTCACAACCATCAAGTCTTCAAAGCCTCTGCCTGAAAGAGAAAGCCTGAAAACTTCAGTAATGCTTTTGGAAGCACTGACAGAACTCCTCCAGCCCCTGACTCTTCAATAATCTTTACCCTCACTGCTTTTCACCTTGTAAGAAAGAGTAACTGTTCCATCAAAAAGAGTAATTTTTCCATACCACCTTCCTTGGCATGTATC